AATAACAATATATTACACCAGGCGGTGTTAAATATAGTTACTTTTTTAACTCTGCCCAGAGTTAAAATTAACCCTTACTTCGGTGTCAATGTGCCAACCCTTTTGAAAGTGTTGATTTAACTCAGTTTTGAGTGGACCCCATGAGACACTTTCAAATTGTTGAAATTAACACCCACAGAGTTGTTTTGGGTCCCCATATTTTGCTGTGTAGATAGATAGATAGATAGATAGATAGATAGATAGATAGATAGATAGATAGATAGATAGATAGATAGATAGATAGATAGATAGATAGATAGATAGATAGATAGATAGATAGATAGATAGATAGATAGATAGATAGATAGATAGATAGATAGATAGATAGATAGATAAAGTAAACAAAAAATAAATAAATAAAGCATTGTCTAATGAAACATCTAATAGAATGAAGAAACATTTTTTGAAAAACAAAGTGTTAAATTGTAAATGAATGAATGAATAAATAAATAAATAAATAAATAAATAAATAAATAAATAAATAAATAAATAAATAAATAAATAAAGCATCGTGTAATCGAACAAAGAAACATGGACCATGCTATGTCTGCACTGCAGCTAACTATAAGTACGCAATTTCCAAATGCTTTAATATTAAAAAAATAATAAATTATTAAAAATTAAAATTCATAACATCTTTATTAAGGATCATTTACTCAGTTATGTCACTTGAAAAGATGACATTGTTTAAATTGTCTTTGTCATGTCAACTTGACATTATCAGGGCAATTTTTCAAAAGGTGTACATCTATCTTAAACATGATTGGATTGAGGCCAAAACAAATTTTCTGATTAGTGTTATTATATCATAAAATAAAATAATCCAAAAAAAATTTACAACAATGTCATTAATATTTAATGACATTTTAACTACCACTGCAATTAAAGTAAAGAAAAATATTAATGATGCTGTTCTAAAATTGATGACACAATTATAATTGCCTTATAACAATCAGATATAAAACAAATGATGTTGTCTTGGTAATGTCAAGGTGTCATGTTGAAGACATCTCAAACATTGTCACTTTTGCATTTAAAATGACATGAGTGAACTGACATTTAATGTCCTTAGTGTGCATAAACTCTCATTCAAATTCATGATGTGTTATGTCTTGATTATAAAGGTTTCATGACCAGCCTCTTCAAATAAAGCATTTATTTTAATCATTTATTTTTCTGCGCAGTGATGCCAGTTCTAATAGGGATCATTTACTGACACAGTAAAACACATAAATTACATATTAAAGCCCCATAAATCTAATAATTTTAATCATTAAGTTTTACAGAAATATCCATGCAATATATATAGCATTTATACATAGCATTTCACAAAAAAATCTAATTATACAGTTAAAGTTAGAATTATTAGCCCCCCTTTTTGATTTTTCTAAACAATATATATTTCCCAATTTATGTTTAACAGAGCAAGAAAATTTTCACACTATGCCTGATAATATTCTTTCTTCTGGAGAGAGTCTTATTTGTTTTATTCAGTAGATAGTCTACAGAACAAACCATCATTATACAATAACTTGCTTAATTACTCTAACCTGCCTAGTTAACCTAATTAACCTAGTTAAGCCTTTAAATGTCACTTTAAGCTGTATAGAAGCATCTTGAAAAACATCTAGTAAAATATTATTTACTGTCATCATGGCAAAGATAAAATAAATCAGTTATTAAAAAATGAGTTATTAAAACTATAATGTTTAGAAATGTGTTTAAAAAATCTACTCTCCATTCAACAGAAATTGGGGGGAAAATACAGGGTGGATAATAATTCTAATTTCAACTGTATGTATATATATATATATATATTTATATATATGTGTGTGTGTGTGTGTGTGTAATGTATATAAAAAAATATATATATATATATATATATTTTTTTTTTTAAAGCCATAGCAATTACTCCTTACAAAGTTGACCTACAAATGGCTGACTCATAGTTGTCTTTGCATATTTATATACAGAATATGAGGTAGTGTTTTAGTATCCAAAAAAATACACTCTATACTTCCTTGAACTGCAATCTAGCTGCCATTCATGTTTTGAGAAGCACTGCCCAACATGTCTCTTTCTGCAGTGCCACTGTGCATATCACCTGCCATTTCAGCCAAAAGCTTCTAGTCATAGCTGTAACTCATACTATCTCAAGTGTATTTCAGCTCAATCTCTCATAAGCTCACCTGCACAACTACATTACTTCTGAAAAACATAACAGAATGTGATTTGGTAACAAAGACTAAAAAGCAGTGTCATGGGTTGAGTTTGAACAAATGTACTCATTTTTGATCCAATATAGGCAGAGCCATTTTCAAATAAGCAATGAAGTGATGATGTGATGCAAAATGTTTTTTTTTTTTTTTTTTTTTTGCAAGGGCAGACAATTGGTTTACATTAAATTATGGGGTGTTATGTGATACTTGTTTCTGTAATGCTTTTAAACAGCACTTAAAAATTTTGCTGACGCACTCTGATTGGTGAGGATAATGAGCATTTAGCTGATACTATTTTAGGTTTATTCCCTACTGAGTGGTTCAGTTTTTTAAAGCATAAGAGATTTATTTAATGTATAATTCTGATAAACTTACATTACAGCAACAGCTCTTCATTTAAACAAATAATGCTGAATACATAACCCTGATGTAAAAAGAAAATCCACATGATTCAAATTCCTAAATACAAATGCCAAACATTTACATTTCAAAATTATACATGAGCTAAATTAAAAATAAATAAATAAATAAATTATACAATTATATATTTGAATTTCTCCAAGTAAATTTTCAATCATAGAAATTTATATTTATTTGAAAAGAATCATACATTAGTATTAAAGTTGCAGTAGGTGATCTGCCTAAATGCCATTGGTTGGCATAATATCTAATGTAACACAGTCCTTCCCCTGCCATCTAAAGCCACGCCTCCTGAAATCATGTTACTACAATTCTGAACAAAAAACTGTATTGTATCTAGGGCTGTGCAATTGGGACAAAGGAAAACCATCACAGTTTCCTTGAACAATATTGCGATTTCGATTTTAATTTCAATTTTTGCACACACAGACATTTCACAGTGCGAATATAAAACATATTTCCAAAGGAAATCAATTAGACCTTTATCAAAGACCTGTAAAAAATCACCTAGTTAAAGTGTAACAAATTGTCTCTAGAACACATAAATACGCTACCGGGGTGTGTGTGTCTGTATGTGTGTCTGCATGTGTGTCTGCGTGTGTGTCTCCATATGTGTCTGCATGTGTGTCAGCGTGTGTGTGTGCGTGCGTGCGTGTCATCAAACACAAGTAGTCTCCAATGTTCTGTTTGAGCACATGTCAGAAGTAGCTGCGTAAACTTTTGTACGCATCCACAGATTTTTTTGCCATGCATAGATCATAGACCTCTTTGTAACGCTGCATGAAATAGTCTGTTCACACATTGCGTCTTTTGCGTGCACAAGTTTGTTATTTCCATGCGCACACAGTTGAAAACATCTCTACTTTTAGAATGCTACAACCGCACCGCGAGTCACGTAACAAAAACTGAGCGATCAGCTTTATACTTTATACACGTTTCGGTAGACTAATTACCTCAAACAAACACACAAGCAAAGGGCGAGCTGCGTAAATGGATGCACAGATGTACAAATCTACATATCTACATTTTTTTGGCACACAGTTTGGGCTACTTATCAGAATTACGGGAATTGTCAGCCTAACAAATTTTCATTGGATGAACATTTTTTAGTCTTATGCCTTACCCAGAAAATAAAAATTAATATAAATACAAATGCATTTAGATAATTTACTTTACTCATTTTTATTGGAATGTGAAGAGACTTTCAACTAGCACCACAAAAAAAAATGTTTCTAAAGACAATCACCTACTGCACCTTTACTGTAAATATTAAAGATTGCAGTCACACTTTACGATTTTATTAGTTTATGTTAGTTATGGTGTTTACTAACATGAACTAAGAATGAACAATACTTGTATAGCATCTAATAATCATAGTTCAACATTTGCTAATGCCAAATAATGATTGTTAACATTATTTAATGCACTGAGTTAACAAGAACTAATAATGAACAACTGTATTTTCATTAACTAACACTGACAAATATAGATAAATATTGTATAAAATGTATTTTGTTGTTTGTTTATGTTAGTTAATACATTAATACATTCAACCTTATTGTAAAGTGTTACCAAAATTACTTTGACTTGACCATTAGATGAAAAAAGCCAACAAAAGAACAAAAATTAAGATTCAAATCCACAATATTGACTAACAAATCCACATTAAATCCACAATATTGACTGACCAAGTCTAATATCAACCAACAACCAGGGTGCGAATTACAGGGGGTTTGGGGGATTGACCTCCCTAATTAATGCTTGATGCCCTTGAAGGACATCAAAACAAGATGTATGGGGGGGTTAGTCCTTTAATAGTAAGAAATAGCTTTCTCTGATCTCTGAACGATAGCTTAAATATTAATAATTAAAAATCTATGATATAAATATACATTTGATCCCCCCATAACAGTTTATACCATTGTAAATGCATAATCGTGCCAATCAATGCTTGGAAAAATATAATTCAACAGTTTAAAAATTGGCAGTTCTAAAGCACCGATAGACATCTTAAGTATTCCCAAAACACGGTTCTTGTAAAATAGGTGCTTATTTCTGCATGTAGTCTAAAAAAGAAAAATTAGACACATACTTTGTCAATATGAGCTACAGTAACCTCTTAAACCGTCACTAAATATCCCTCAAAACAATGATAATGTATAATTCTATGTATAATTCACACACTACCAACAACCCCTATGCCATCGATAAATATTGTACTTCTAATCTTCATGTATTCATCAACCATCTAATCTTCAAACAAGTAAGCAATTTACTGTTAGTTAAAGAGCCCATAAAAGAAAGTAAACCAATAATACTCACAGCCCACCATCATCATGGCCACAGAGAAGATCTTCTCCCCGTCAGTGGTTGGTGCAATGTTGCCAAAGCCAATAGTGGTGAGACTGGTCATGGTGAAATAGAGAGATGAAATGTAGAGCGTGTGTTTGCTTGGTCCACCTTCCCAATGGCCTGAGCCGCTGGCGTTATAGCGGTACGGCGTCCCAATGCTAATGGCTAACTGATAAAGCCAGCTGTCCGTCTTGAGGCTATTGGTGGCTTCATCGATGACCTCGTAATCTCCAATGCTGTACCAGATGCAGGCCAGCCAATGTGCCACCAGGCCAAAGACACACACCAGCAAAACCAACACAGCAGCACCATATTCCAGATAGTGGTCCAGTTTGCGAGCAACTCGACCCAGGCGGAGTAAACGCACCACTTTCAATGAGCTGAACAGACTGCTGAGACCCTGGAGAAGAAAAAGAGAAAGTAGCATAAGAAATAGGGAGGGCAAGGTACTGCAGGTTAATGGGTAGTAAATAAATTACTAATATTTATCACCATATCTCCCCAGTTGACTGATTAAGCATTAAGAATAGCTAAAATTAAGCCTCTATTATAACCCTGGACCACTTATTAAGTCTTGTGTTGCATAGAAAGATTTGTCTTTTATGCTAAAAATCATTCAAATACCAAAGATCATAATCCATGAAGACATTTTGTAAAATTCCTACTTGACTTACTGATACTGTATATCAAAATAATATTTTGGTCAATATATTATCATTATTTTTGTTTTTGTTTTTTTGCACTCAAATTCCGGATTTTCAAATAGTTGCATCACAGGCAAACATTGTCCAATCATAACACACCATTTATCAATGGTAAGTAAATTAATTCACCTTTCAGATAATTCTAAAGTCTGCATTACATAAAAGTGTCACTTCAGACAGCGTTTGTGGTCCAGGGTCACAAATTTCATGTTTAATATGTAAATAAGGCATCATTTAATTAAATATGAGCTATTTTGCATACATTTTTAGTAAACAAATTTGAACATTGAATGAAGTTGGGTTGATTGCCTAATTTTTTTGACATATTAGGGGTTTGCAAATCTCTTTTTATTACTCCATAAATCAGAAAACACTACAAACAGCTATAAATAAATACATTTTCACATTTGTTTGGAGAATGGTATGTTGTACATAATCAAGAAAATTACGTATGAAATATCCCAGTTTAAAAAAAAAATAGATATGACTAAAACTGAAGTTTGATAAGTGTAAAAAAAAATTGTAGAAACACTTAAAAGTCTATTTTGGATGTTTTCTTTTTTTGTTAGAAATCAGTTCAAGTCCGAATTATTAGCCACCCTGAATTATAAGCCCCCTGTTTATTTTTTCCCCCAATTTCTGTTTAACAGAGAGCAGATTTTTTCAACACATTTCTAAACATAAGAGTTTTAATACTTTATTTCTAAAAACTGATTTATTTTATCTTTGTCATGATGACAGTGAAAAATATTTTACTCAATATTTTTCAAGATGCTTCTATACAGCTTCAAGTGACATTAAAAGGCTTAACGAGGTTAGTTAGGTTAACTAGGCAGGTTAGAGTAATGAGGCAAGTTTTTGTATAATGATGTTTTTTTCTGTAGACTATCGACAAAAAAAAATAGCTTAAAGGGGTTAATAATTTTGTCCTTAAAATGGTTTTTAAAAAATTATAACTGCTTTTATTCTAGCCAAAATAAAACAAATAAGACTTTCTTCAGAAGAAAAAAATATTATCAGACATACTGTAAAAAATTCCTTGCTCTGGTAAACATCATTTGAGAAAAAAAAAAGAAAAAGAAAAATCAAAGGGGGGCTAATAAATGTGACTTCAACTATATATCAACTATATATATATATATATATATATATATATATATATATATATATATATATATATATATATATATATATATATATATATATATATATATATAAGGGATTGTTCATGCAAAAATAGAACATTGCGGGTCCTTTATACTGACCATTAACATTTTGTGTTGAGATTTCTCTACATTTATCTAGGCACAAGACTTTTTTTTCAATGTTTTAACAAGACTAGGTTTAACAATCTTATTTTTTGTTAAATAAATATTGTCATTTTTATTAATAAAATGTAAATATTACAATATTGGTGGGTATACAATTAATTTTTCAATCCTTTTTCTTTTAGTTTTCAGATTCTCTATAAATTTCTAATCACTAGACCCATCCCATGACTTTTATTTTGTAATATAGAGTTGTGGAAAAAAATTAAGAGACTACCAGTTTCATGAAGACATATTGATTTAGGTATATTTAGATACATAGGCTTCTTTGAACAAGGTTCATTTGAAAGTTCTCAGCATGACTTTCAAAAAAGTCAGGTGAGAATTTCAAGGAAAGATCGTGCATGTCCATATGAACATGAATAATTCCAGGTTGATGGGTGTCATGAAGCTCCAGAGACCTGCTCCTTCAGCCTATAGTCGCTTTGATCACACACCTTTCATGTCAGAGAACAGATAGCCAAAGTTCCTCCACTGATCCTTCAACTCTATACAGCACATCCAAAGAGAACCACAGATCTCACCAGACATTTTACTGATCAGGTAAATTGTGTTAAGCTAATGGAAGATAAAAACTAACAGTTCTGAAGAATGTTGTTGAGCATATATTATTGGCTCTGAATGCAATTTAAAGATGATTCTTTTAAATTCCACAAGAAGCAGGATAACTTTTCACAGGTAAGAATGTGTTGGTTTGTGCTTTTAAACAATTTCAGTAAGACAGCTTGGTAACATTTTAACGTTGCATTAGCTAATGTTTTCCTCTAGCTGCTTTCTGTAATGAATGCTCAATTTTGTTAGTGCACGCCAAATTGTAAAGACTTGACTAAATATGTAAAGACAGATGATGGAATAAACAAGACATAACAGCAGCAGAGTGTTTATGATGGAAGAATTCAATCAAATGTTTGGGTTTTGATTGAGATGTTGAGAAGTAAACCTTGAGGTAAAAGTAGTCCTAATACAGTATGTTGAAACTTTAATGGATATTAGCCTCCTATTAGCAGTAACTAGCCTCCGCCTTAGCCTCCACATCAAAGTCCCTGAAAGAAAGGTCAAGGTGCTCCAGAATTGGCCAGCCCAGTCACCAGACATAAACAAGCAACAAGACTTTTGCCTGAGCAAAGTCAGACCTTACTGTCCTAATTAAATAGTTGAAAATCAAGGCATGATAACTTTTTGATTTGGTAAAATAAGCTTCTGATAGCAAATGATCAACTAGAAGTCAAGTTATTAATTGTCATTCCTAAAACTTTGTCAGGTAGTGCGCTGTTGGTTTCTAGATTGCCAATACTAGAGTCAGCTGCTCTAAAAACTGTGTGTGTGTGTGTGTGTGTGTGTGTGTGTGTGTGTGTGTGTGTGTGTGTGTGTGTGTGTGTGTGTGTGTGTGTGTGTGTGTGTGTGTGTGTGTGTGTGTGTGTGTGTGTGTGTGTGTGTGTGTGTTTATATATTAAAGCTTATATTTGTGTGTTATGTGATTGTTTATAGACAATGTTTTGTACCTTTAAATACCAGTTTAATGTCCTACTAATTCTTTAGATAGTCAGAATTTACCAACACTCTAGTATGAGTTTAAATTTAAATATATGCTTGATTGATGCTTTATTACACACAATAAATGTGTGTTTCTCAATTATTAATGTGTGTTTATGTAGACCTAATAGTTATTGGGATAAAAATATCAACACAGTGCTTGGAAACATTCAGAAAATATGAATGTTGTCGAGTCTGTCTCATTAAAGAGTGGAATAAGTATAGTGTTTTTTGGCTCTGAAAGCAAAGTGAAGAGGATGCTTTCACTCAGTTACGCCCACACGTGCACTGTTACCCGTTGAACAAAAGCTTAAACATTGCTTGTCAACTTAGGGCCGATAGAGATTACAGGTCTTTCCAGGAAAAAGGCCACGCTGATTAACATATATTTGTTATAGTTTTCTTCACGTACACAAATACACTGTTAACTAGATTTGTACAAGGATTATAGGGGGAACATCTGCTGAAAGGGTTTAATGGTGTTAAACCTTGATATTATTACAGTCTGAAGGATTACTTAAGTTCATAGTGACAGTGATTTAATTTTGAGAGTTTGTATGCTTTGCGCTTCTACAAAAATAAAAAAATAAAAATATTACCCATATTAACTCCCACTGGTTCAAAAGTCAAAATCAAAAATAAGTGATAATGCAGTGTCACAAAAATTAGGGATGCATTAATATTAGGATAGTAAAAAAAAAAAAAGCTGGAAACCAGCACCCACTGACCTTAAAACAACAAATAATATAGATGTCAATGGTTACAGGTTTTCAACCTTTTTCAAAATTCCTTTTTTCATGTTTGACCAAACAAAAAAAACAAGCCAGGCTCATTCTGAAAGCATACCTCTATATACAATTCTGGAGAGCATAAAATATGTCCCAGCAGCTACTTTTTTGCAGTTTTGGTTTTCGCAAATCCACCGGAGGTCACTGTGTATGCTTTTACAGATGTCAAATTTCTCAAGTGAGTGCCATTTGCGCCTGCTGTTAAATGCACTAGAACCTGCTGTCGACTGACTGACTTATCCACCAATTATCCCCCCACCCACCCACTCCCTTCCCTAAACCCAACCGATAGTATTTTCAAAAGCACAGACTGACTCGATCAACTTTTCTCTAAACCCAACCGATAGTGTTTTTCAAAAGCACAGACTGACCCAATCCCCTCCTTCCCTAAACCCAACTGATAGTGTTTTCAAAAACAAAGACTGACCAGATCACCCACTTCCCTAAATCCAACCGATAGTGTTTTTTAAAAGCACAGACTGACCGGATCACCCACTTTCCCCTAAACCCATCCAATAGTGTTTTCAAAAGCACAGACTGACCTGATCACCCCCTTCCTTAAACCCAACCGATAGTGTTTTCAAAAGCACAGACTGACCCGATCACCCCCTTTCCTAAACCCAACCGATAGTGTTTTCAAAAGCAGACTGACCCAATCACCTCCTTTCCTACACACATACAATATTGTTTTCAAAATCACAGACTGACCCGATCACTTCCTTTCCTAAACCCAACCGATAGTGTTTGTCAAAAGCACGGACTGAACCGATCACTCCGTTCCCTAAACCCAACCGATAGTGTTTTCAAAAGCAGACTGACCCGATCACCCCCTTTCCGAAACCAATACAATAGTGTTTTCAAAAGCACAGATTGACCCGATCACCCCCTTCCCTAAACCCAACCGATGGTGTTTGTCAAAAGCACAGACTGACCAGATCACCTCCTTCCCTAAACCCAACTGATAGTGTTTTCAAAAGCACAGACTGACCCGATCACCCGCTTTCCTAAACCCATACAATAGTGTTTTCAAAAGCACAGACTGACCCGATCACCCTTTTCCCCAAACCCAACTCATAGTGTTTTCAAAAGCACAGACTAACACGATCACTCACTTCCCTAAACCCAAACTATAGTTGTTTCAAAAGCATAGACTGACCCGATGACCCTCTTCCGCACTGACCCGATCATCCAATTCTCTGAACCCAACCGACAGTGTTTTCAAAGCAATCAAGAAAAAGAAAAGCCCTTACCAAGTTTTCAGATCTTACCATGTTCTCACACTGTTATTTTAGTTTTTTTTTTTTTTTTAGTTTTTGCCATTTTAATTTTGTCTTGCCCACTTTCTGGAACCATTTTTCACCAGGCTTGAACCCTTTCATCACAGTTAACTCCTCTTGTAGGAAAGCTACTGGAAAGCTACTGGGCGAATTAGTAATAGCGCAAAAGCCATCGGCATCATACCGCCCTGTAGAATTCGTTTAAAGACGAAATGCAGCCATAGGTAGCTCTGGCTACATAATTCACACTCTCCAGAAATGTATAAGGGAGTACGTTTTCACAATGAGCCTGTGTTGAAAAAACTCAGTAAAAGGTCTGGAAATAGTTAAGAGATTACTTTAATAAACGTGCAAGAAGCAGGAGCATGTTTTGAGCTTTGAAACGGACATAAATTTACCAATTAAAATCAGCCATTGTCTTACTCCTCTAACGCAATACTTATAATTCGTCCCCAAATACTTCACAGCTGGATGTTTGCAATCTCTCCTGAGGACACAAAGAAGGTTATCTGGAGGACAAAATAGAACGTCGCATTCTCTGCAGACACTTGATGGATTCACTTTTTAAGCAGAGTGAAATAGAGGGGGTGAGAAGTAAATACGCCTAATTGTTGCATCCTCAACAGCTTCGGACTGTCAGCCCAGAACTGTTTATAAATAGTGTCCATGATGTGTACCTCGCAGGTTTAATTAGCATTTCCTCCGCTGAGGATTTCTGCCTTTTTGTTCCAGCCGTCACATAATCAAAAGGCTAATTTCTCAAACATGCTTTATGTTCCTGAAAGGAGCAATTTTCTTCAGACACTGACACGGAGGAAGGAAGGTAAAAATAGATGTGTTCATTCTGCAATATCGCATAGAATCGTACAGCTTTTATTACACTAGCTAAAAATGTTTAAAGAAAACGGATGCTAATTTTGCCAACAGTCAACTCCCAGGGCAGAGCAGCTCCTAATGGATATTCTTTCGAGTAATTCATCATTCTGAGGGCCTATATCTAATTTGCAATGTGCTTATGTAGCATTTAGTAATCCATAAAGTTTTTCGCCTTTGTCTTTAAGGCCAAACAAATAAGCAGTTTTCAACTGTGAACATTAAAAGGTTATGCATACTCATAAACGTTCAGTTAGATGTGACGACCCCACAGTTGAATGATGAGATAATGGACAAGAAAACATTAATGCCTGCTGGTGAAACATGCTATGTTTAGTTGTGTGTGTCAGGGGGTGGGGAATGAATCTTGTGCCATCTAATTTGAATTGACTCGCATCTAAAATCACTTTAGATAAACAAACACACTAAGGGGTGCAGCATTCAGAGCAACATTAGCATAAATTAGAGAGCCATTAGTGCGTCTCTGTTCAACATTGAATAGGAGAGAGGTTACTGAACTATAGTACAAATGGGAAAATGGGACAGAAGAGCTATAAACAACATACTGTAAGAAATGAGAGCAAACTTACGGGCAGCACTGAATCCTCCGCACGTGTGGCGTTTCGTGGAGAATGGCCTGCAGATGGCAAGTGACCCACAGCAGAGGAGTCTACAAAGGTGTCCTACGTCAGAAAGACAAAGGCAGACCTTTTACATCACTCTTACCCTCGATAGTGCATGCAAATAATAAATTAAAGACGAACATCAGGATTCAAGAGACCCATTTACAGATATGAGATCTGGACAGAAGCACATTGAGTGCATTAAAGTAATTAACATAACGGAGCAGCAGGACGTCATATTACCATGATAAACAACAAGCAATAAATAATTAGTGTCCCATAACAACAACTGACGTCCTAATACACAGCTTCTGTGAAACAATTAAGGAAATCATTCACTTGAGAGTTTTACCTTTACTCTATGTTTTTTCAAACTTATTTTATTTAGTACCAAAGATTAAAAAAGAATCAAAGGGGGCTAATAATTCTGCTATATAGCAGCAGAATTATTAGCCCCCTTTAAATTTTTTTTCTTCTTTTAAAAATATTTTCCAAATGATCTCTAACAGAGCAAGGACATTTTACAGTATGTCTGACAATATTTTCTCTTCTGGATAAAGTCTTATTTTTTATTTCGGCTAGAATAAAAACAGTTTTTTAATTTTTAAAACACCATTTTAGGGACTAAATTATTAGCCCCTTTAAGCTATATATTTTTTCGATAGACTACAGAACAAACCATCGTTATACAATTACTTGCTAACTACCCTAACCTAGTTACCCTAGTTAAGCCTTTAAAGGTCACTTTAAACTGTATAAAAGTGTTTATTATGTAAGTAACTATTATGTTCAGAAATGTGTTGAAAAAATTTGCTCTCTGTTAAACAGAAATAAATAAAATAAAAATAAACAAGCGGTCTAATAATTCGGGGGGCTAATAATTCTGACTTCAACTGTATAATATATATATATATATATATATATATATATATATATATATATACTTTTTTTTTCCTAACCTACATGAATTTAAAAACCACTGCCTTGAACTTTTTCAGTTCATTGAATTTGCTTTTGTATAATGTTAATATTATTAGCAGTATTATTTATTATATCCATATTTATATTTGTTTTATTAAAAACAAGCTTAGATTTGACCACCTGTCAGGTTTTAGACCATATGGGGCATAGCAGGTGTATTTGGAAATAACTGAGTATTTTAACCACACTTCGTTAATATAGTTCATTTATTCATTTGCTGGAAATTAGAACTAAATTAAGAAATAGTTTTGAAACAAATCTTTGCGCTTAACAAACGAAATTAATTATTTATAGGCTAATTGATGTCTTTGCGTACAAGGTTTCCCTATCCACGAGAGCAAAAGCTAAAGTGAATTAGGAGATGCCTTATCTCTCATTCTCACGCGGTAGATGCTCTGTTTAGCTGTTTTCTTATAGTGAAATGCTCAGTTTTTCCACTTACACTTACTTTACGTCATGTAAATAGCAAATGCGCTTATGGCGCGACGCAGCTGGCTCTTAAAGGGAATGAGAGATGAGACTCTGATTGGTTTATTCTCAAAACACACCTACATTAAGAAAATAAGCTCAACCCTTTTAGACCATGCACCATGGCGCAAAGCAGATTTTGCCATCCTTATATAGCAAAAGTGGATTCTGACATGCCCTGAATGCGTTTGTGCCATGCGCTTTTTTTGTGTTGCACATGGATCGTCAAAATAGAGCCCTAGATGTTTATATAATGTTTAATAATCTCAATTATTCCATATGTTAAGCATTAATACATTTTATGAGCTTTTTGGTTTAAAACAGCCAATATTAAGCTGATATCACCGTATGTGATTTCACTTCTCAATTGTATTTCTGTATTTATTTACCAGCCAGGTTATATGCCCAATAGATAAAACATTTTGAATACATTTTAACCCTGTTTTACCCCATCTTTTTATGGTTATGCATTATTGGTTGGCATAGGTGTTTAAGGCCAATTAAAGGATTTGTGCTTTTGCAAGCTGTAAGTAAATCTGGTCTCAACCGTCTACTTAGCAGTTTTGCTTCTCAGTTGTGCTATTTATAGATTTACCAAATGTTACACTCTTCCAGCTGGGTTTTTATTAACCCATATTTAACCCATTGTTGTGTTCATTTTTTTTTTACATTAAATTGAAATCATATTTTAACCCAGCTGTTAGGTTTCCGTCATTTTTGAGCCAAAGTTGGGTTAATACAACCCAGCATTTTAGTGTAATTGTATTTAGATTGTATTTTTGAATAACACTTTTAATCTTGACCTGTGATGTTTGCACTTTTTTATGTCTTTTGTCTGTCATTATTAATAATTTTATGATTTCATCAGACCAGCTCTTAATTTAGTTAATCATTTTGCCATGTTTAGCTCTGTTTATATCTTCGAATGTATTTTTATGTGCACTTTTTTTTACCTTACATTAAACATGCAATTAAAGCAGGAGTTCAGGTAAATCAGATACCTAATTTAAATGGGAAAGAGATCCACGTTAGGATGTAAGGATCAAATTTGGAACAAAACAAAGATGAAAATCTTCATTTTATTCAGAAACCAATTACCTATTATTGTATGACACAAGTCAAGAAACCAGCCGATAGACAGGGACATGTGACCCACGGGGGACACAAAGACAGAACAGGCTGAAGTTCATAGGAAAACAATTGGACAGCTGCACATTATCAATCCCCAGAACAGACAGCTGCACTCCCGCCAACTGCCTGTGCCTTCAATTATTTATAACACACTTTACAGCATTTGATTATGAACAGACTGCTTTTTAAGTGACATCACAACTTTACTGTTTGCTTAATTTTCAAAATATACAACATCATTTAATATAATGCAAAAAAAAAAAAAAAAGATTTGCAGCAACAAACATTTTGGTCACATTTATTTTGATGGCTAAGCTTGAATTTAGGTTATATTGCATCTACATGCTAATTCATTCTCATAAGATTATAAGTAGGCTGTTAGGTTGGGGTTTAGGGTTAGCGCAAGTTGACATGTACTTGCAAAGTTTCTTATAGTCAGTTAAATATCTGTTGAAGGAGCAGTACCAACAGACATTTTTTTACCATACAGTGTAAAATTTATTAACTACACTCTTAGAAATACTTAACAGGTCCGCATTGGTACTTTCGAGATTTTTGTTCCTTTAAGTTACAATGAGATACACATTTGTGCTGTTTAATTTGTGTAATGAGCATTTTTTTCTCTGGAATTGTACCATTTTAAGTAGTGTAAAATTGTGTACCTTGAAATGACTATATTTTTTGTTCGGTGTCAGTACATTTACTATGAAATTGGTCTTCTACTACTTTGTCCATTTTTCTTGTGTGATTGGCTATGTAAAATAATCAGGCAAGACGCTTGATAAATGCAGCACACATCTACAGTGTGAAAGCATTAAAATATGCAAGATGATGTAATATTGTTACACAAAATAACTGAGAGATTTAGAGTTTAATTTCATGCCACAGATGAAAAGATATAGGATGCCTATGGTGATTAAAACCATGAAACTGTCTTTAACAATAACTCAATGCACTACAAAATGTTACTTTTTGAATACATGCACAAATTGCACGTATAAAACTACTTCAGTACTTTTAAAAGAGCTACTTTTTACTCCTAGTATTTACCTGTAGAACATATGGTTTTACTCTACCTCCACTACATTTTTGGAAAGATATGATACTTTTACACGCAGTGGCGCAGTGGGTAGCACGTTCGCCTCACAGCAAGAAGGTCGCTGGTTCGATCCTCGGCTCAGTTGGCGTTTCTAGTAGTGTATGAGTGTGTGTGTATGTGTGGATGTTTCCCAGAGATGGGTTGCGGCTGGAAGGGCATCCGCTGCATAAAAACTTGCTGGATAAGTTGGCGTTTCATTCCGCTGTGGCGACCCCAGATTAATAAAGGGAATAAGCCAACAAGAAAATGAATGAATGAATGAATGATACTTTCACTTGAATAGGATTTTTCAGTACTCTTTCCGCACCTGATTAATTGTGATTATAGTACTTACATGGAACATCTGTAACAAGGACACATTTAAATAAAGTGTTATCAATTTGTTTTCTGTAGTTTTCTAACAATATTGAAGATAATTTATATTAATTGCTGCAATTACATAATTAATCTACTTTCGCGTTTTTGTTTTTTTCCTTTCCCCTAATTTTATTAAAATATAATTGATCAAACATTTTCATTCTAATTATTAAATATTATTATATCATATTTATCACAAAAAGTGCCATGTGTATTTTCATTGCTGTACTGGTCCACATGCATCCACAAAGCTATGATCAAATGCTTTCTTAGCAGCTCTTTTTTCACCACTGTTATTTGTTGTGTTTGTTACTGAGTGAAAAACTCACATCACAGATTACTCCGTGAGGGTCTAGCATTAACACGTCCTAGCTCAACAAGTGTCCCGTTGAGGTTGTGGTTTGTGTCAGGTTTGGGAAACAAACAGAATTCAGTGGGGGTCAGATGACATTTCAACAACAGATGTGCCAAAAGTCGTCAGCTTTTATAATAGCACTCTCTGTTGGTAAATATAAACCATAAGCACAGTTCACACATGCAAAGTGGCATCTACTGTATATACACATTCTGAAACACATGACAAGGCATTTCTACATTTCTAAGTAAAGGCTGCCGGTGTCTGTTCAAAATTCAGTGCAAAGAAGCAAATGATGCTTCAAAGCCAGGCAAGGTTATGTCTGCTTAGTGCTTAGTATAAAAATAATTCATTGTTGTTGATGTGTAAAAGCATTTAAGTCGTATCAGTGTAAAAACAACTACAGCAAAATGCCACTACAATTGAACTTCAGTGCCACATTAGCTGTGTAAATTTAGCATAACTTAAATGAATGGGAAAACTTAACATGAACTTTTTATTTACTCTATAAAGGGATGAACAGCATCAATCAAATATTCTTTTCCTCTTTCAGAACGCTGCTCTCTTTTAATACAGAGTCTCAGTATGCCTGCCTATTTATTAAAACTTCATCTAAAGCTGTCAAAGAGATGTAGGTCATATCCTCACGCTCTAAATAATAAAGGTTAC